TCCTGTGTAGGGGTGGGTGTGCTCCAGTGTAGGGTTGGGTGTGCTCCTGTGTAGGGGTGGTGGTGCTCCAGTGTAGGGTTGGTGGTGCTCCAGTGTAGGGGTGGTGGTGCTCCTGTATAGGGGTGGGGGTGCTCCTGTATAGGGGTGGGGGTGCTCCTGTATAGGGGTGGGGGTGCTCCTGTATAGGGGTGGTGGTGCTCCTGTATAGGGGTGGGGGTGCTCCTGTATAGGGGTGGGGGTGCTCCTGTATAGGGGTGGGGGTGCTCCTGTGTAGGGGTGGGTGTGCTCCAGTGTAGGGTTGGGGGTGTTTCTGTGTAGGGGTGTGTGTGCTCCAGTGTAGGGGTGGGTGTGCTCCAGTGTAGGGTTGGGGGTGTTTCTGTGTAGGGGTGTGTGTGCTCCAGTGTAGGGGTGGGTGTGCTCCTGTGTAGGGGTGGGTGTGCTCCAGTGTAGGGTTGGGGGTGTTTCTGTGTAGGGGTGTGTGTGCTCCAGTGTAGGGGTGGGTGTGCTCCTGTGTAGGGGTGGGTGTGCTCCAGTGTAGGGTTGGGGGTGTTTCTGTGTAGGGGTGTGTGTGCTCCAGTGTAGGGGTGGGTGTGCTCCAGTGTAGGGTTGGGGGTGCTCCTGTGTAGGGGTGGGTGTGCTCCAGTGTAGGGGTGGGTGTGCTCCTGTGTAGGGGTGTGTGTGCTCCAGTGTAGGGGTGGGTGTGCTCCTGTGTAGGGGTGGGTGTGCTCCAGTGTAGGGTTGGGGGTGTTTCTGTGTAGGGGTGTGTGTGCTCCTGTGTAGGGGTGGGTGTGCTCCAGTGTAGGGTTGGGGGTGCTCCAGTGTAGGGTTGGGGGTGCTCCTGTGTAGGGTTGGGGGTGCTCCTGTGTAGGGGTGTGTGTGCTCCAGTGTAGGGGTGGGTGTGCTCCAGTGTAGGGTTGGGTGTGCTCCTGTGTAGGGTTGGGGGTGCTCCTGTGTAGGGGTGTGTGTGCTCCAGTGTAGGGGTGTGTGTGTTCCAGTGTAGGGTTGGGTGTGCTCCTGTGTAGGGTTGGGGGTGCTCCTGTGTAGGGGTGTGTGTGTTCCAGTGTAGGGGTGGGTGTGCTCCAGTGTAGGGGTGGGTGTGCTCCAGTGTAGGGTTGGGTGTGCTCCTGTGTAGGGTTGGGGGTGCTCCTGTGTAGGGGTGTGTGTGCTCCAGTGTAGGGGTGGGTGTGCTCCTGTGTAGGGTTGGGGGTGCTCCTGTGTAGGGGTGTGTGTGTTCCAGTGTAGGGGTGGGGGTAATACTAAAGTGCACCAACCAGATTGACTCCACAAGTCGGTTAATTAGCGCTTTAATAGTGCTGGGCTTGCCAGGTTACGCTACTCTCATCGGTTGTCTCTGTTGTAATCCTGTTGCCATGGTAACAATGTATAGGCTAATCTACACATTGAAACTGTGGTTATATCATTTTAACGGTCTGTATAGTTTGGTGGGTCACAAAGCTGATTGAAGAGATCAATACTCGATCATCTATCGCGGAGATCACGCTGAGTTCATCCGTCCTGGGGAGCGAGCTGTGACGTCACGACTCTCGTGCGCTAATTGGTAAAACACTTAATGATAACAGGTAACGATGGCGGTGTGAATTAATGAGGGAATCTGTGGGGTGAGCCAAGTCTTCAGGCAGGTGAGGGCACTTTCACACGCTCCATTTGGGGCGAACACGTTTTCTCTTGGTACTGGCGGCGGGGGGGGGGGGGGGGGGGGGGGGGGGGGGGTAACAAGTCTTGGATCATCCACGTCACATACATCATGGGTGGGGGTGAGTTGTGGGGGGGGGGGGGGGTAGGCCTGCAACCAGATACCTATCAAATATTGTTGTACCATGCCTGGCCAGGTACACGAACTATTGTTACACGATTAGCAAGCTGGCAACATACTTGCTTGTGCTGACGTATCACGATTTACCTCGAATATTTAGATTCATGTCGTGCATGCGTTGCATATGTTGGTTCTGCTGCACCAACCTCTGTTTGATGGATGTCGTGCATGCTATCTCACATATGTTGGTTCTGCTGCACCAACCTCTGTTTGATGGATGTCGTGCATGCTATCTCACATATGTTGGTTCTGCTGCACCAACCTCTGTTTGATGGATGTCGTGCATGCTATCTCACATATGTTGGTTCTGCTGCACCAACCTTTGCTTGATGGTTAGCGTACATGGCGGATCATAGCTCATGATTGTTTTTTTTTTTTTATACCCATATGTAATTCGCACGAGTCGTACAAGTAGGTTGACTTGTTTACAGATTAGTTTCAGATATCTGATGTAACATCTCGCTCTACTTTAAAGGAAATTTAAGGATATATGTAAATAGCGAAGTAGGTTGGTGATACAAGATTCGAATAGCTCTGTAATATAAACAAAATATAAACAAAATATAAACAAAATGTAAACAAACTATAAACAAAATATAGACAGTCATTACAAAAATGTCTCGCTGTTGACAACAGAAAACAAAAGCTACAATGTATTGTAGTCATTGATTGTTGCATGCATAATATAAGCATCACATCCACTTGATAGTCCCAGCGGCTATGTAAGTAGGCGGGGCTTTTAGATTCCCTGCCATCTACATATATGGGACGTAACTCAACCATTTAGTTAAGTCTCTACATATATGGGAAGTAACTCAACCCTTTAGTTAAGTCTCTACATAGACTATATGGGACGTATTTCAACCATCTAGATGAGCAGAGTTTCTTCCAGGCATCTGTTCGGGGGGGGGGGCAAAGCCCCCCCCCCCCCCGAAATTTTTTTTACCGCCCACCCCCCCCCCCCCAAACGAAATGAAATTTAAATAATTTATTTAGAAAATATATACTTTTAACAGTGTCCACCTCCCCCCCCCCCCCCCCGAAGAAAGTCTACCACCACCCCCCCCCCCCACGAAATTTCAAATTTCGAAATTACAATCTATAAATAGATTTAGCTATTTGTTATTTAATCTCCTTAATTTAAACAAAATAGCCCAGCTATTTGGTGTATTTAAGATCCACTGTAATCTTTACAAAAATAACCCAGCTATCTCTTGTAATTGAGAACCGCTGTAATCTATACAAAATAACCCAGCTATCTATTGTAATTGAGAACCGCTGTAGGTAAAAGTGTGTCAGCCTGCAGGTATACCTATGACAGCCGCTGATCCGGGTAATCCCCACAGAAAACAATGCCACCTATTCGCTGCTGAGAGCCACTCTGACTCTCTGATGCTGCGGAATTTTCCTACGCTTTTATGGCTAGAGATTTACACGGTAATAAGCAGAGCATTTTTATCTGTGATTTATATCTGCTGATTCACCGTGTTTAGACATACATCTCTATCCCCTTCATTCTCTTTCTTATTCTACAACATCTACTCCCCAGTGCATATGTTGGCCTCTAAAGTTGGCTTATATATGTAGGCCGTTAAATATTATAATATATATATATATATATATATATATATATATATATATATATATATATATATATATATATATATATATGTATATCTGTGCCCGAGTATAATTGATATAGATCTATGTGCTGTAAAATGTCGTTCTTTGAATAATGAAGCGCGTCTTGTATGAAAATATTAAAATTTTTGTTGACAACAGTTCCTGACATTTGTCATCTTCGTATGTGTGTGTGTGTGTTTGGTGTGTGTGGGTGTGTGTTCAGATTTTTCTAAAAATTTTCTTTCGCAATCCTTGTGTCTTGTGAAATAGGCTGGTTTTTCTCAAGAAAGGGAGTGGGTGGGGGGGGGGGTAGAGTAAGGAAATATTTAAGTCGAGGATGGAGAGTGGTGAAGAAATATGAGAGATAATGTGGGGAGGGGCGGTGAGGGAATGTGTGTGTGTATGTGTGGGGGGGGGGTGGAGGTGTAACTATGAAAGTGTGATGGAATGCGATGCTGACGTAAAAATATTTCTGCCTTCAAGTTGCAGCGATCATCTAAGTTAGAATTAAACGTTCGTTAAACTGTAACAAAACCCAGCACTGAACTGGGGATGCTTTGATCTACACGACTTGACTGCTTGCCGTATAATGTGCTGGCGTAAAACTCTTGACATGACATGATTTTAAAACGATTGGTTAAAGGGAGAAAATGCCAGGATACATAAAAGATAATTACAATCTTTATAGTAGGTTAACTCCCCTACTTGGGTCGACTGAGAAGTGTTGTATGTTTAGTGCAGATGGTGACATCTTAGTACAGGTCCATAGTGGTGTATGGATACAACTCAATAATCTGTAGGCACTAGTCGATAATGTTATACAACACACCTGTAGGCACAAGTCGATAATGTTATACAACACATCTTTAGGCACAACTACATAAAGTTATACAGCACACCTGTAGGCACAAGTCGATAATGTTATACAACACACCTGTAAGAGTCGAGGCACAAGTCGATAATGTTATACAACACACCTGTAGGCACAAGTCGATAATGTTATACAACACACCTGTACGAGTCGAGGCACAAGTCGATAATGTTATACAACACACCTGTAGGCACAAGTCGATAATGTTATACAACACACCTGTACGAGTCGAGGCACAAGTCGATAATGTTATACAACACACCTGTAGGCACAAGTCGATAATGTTATACAACACACCTGTACGAGTCGAGGCACAAGTCGATAATGTTATACAACACACCTGTAGGCACAAGTCGATAATGTTATACAACACACCTGTACGAGTCGAGGCACAAGTCGATAATCTCAAGACAATGTTTCTAGAACAACAGCTGCCTGGCGATCTATTGACATTTCTCGGGTCATTCGAGATGTAGGGCAACCGTTATATCTTATACAGGCGAGGTTGTTCGGATCATGGCCAGTAGTAATTGTTGCCCACGATACTAAAGTTGTACTAATGTCGTACTAATGTTGTACTAATGTTGTACTAATGTCGTACTAATGTTGTACTAATGTTGTACTAATGTTGTACTAATGTTGAATTAATATTGCTTTTTCTTTTAACCACAGACACCAACAAAGACGGAGTCATAGAGAAATGTGACTTTGATGCTGCACTTGAGGTGAGATTCACAGACACACACACTGACACACACACACAACCCGTCTCACACAGACACACAGACACACCGACACTCACAGACACCGACACACAGACAGACACATACGCACACACAGACAACGCAAACACAGACACACACACTGACACACACATACACACAGACACAGACATACACAGAGACACCGACATACAGACATTTAGCGCTGAGATTTACACTATAGGCTACCATCTGAGTGCTGACATTTAAATCCATAAACATGGTGTAGTCAGACTTACAAGCCTGATGGCCATTGGTCGAATTTCTGCCAATGACAACCAACCTTGCTCGCCTCTTTATTGACAATTTTTACATTAAAACATGGAAGAAATGGGGATTCCCCCTAATTAATGCATTCTTCCTTAATTAATTAACCACTGTGTTGGTGACTACAAAGACTGGAGCGAAGGTCACTTTTACTTTAAGCCCAACAATGGGCCGCTGGTTGAATGGATAATGTTTATGTTGACTAAGATCGCACACATTAGGCGGGTTTCGTTCTTAGCTTTGCACTTAGCAAGTTCTCTTTAAATAGTAAGCCAGTAATTTTATTTTTGGAAACCACGTGATGTTTTCGATCAACAAAGTACTTTAAGTTGTGAGTGCAGGCACAGCACGTTACAGTAACAAATCCCCCAACAAGTAGACTATACAAATCTCATAACAAATAGACTCAACAAATCCCACAAAAATGAGACTATACAAATCCCACAACAAGTAGACTAAACAAATCCCCCAATAAGTTGAATAAACAAATCCTTAAAAAAATTGGCTAAACAAATCCGCCAACAAATTGACTAAACAAATCCCACAAGTAGATTAAACAAATCCCCCACCAAGTAGAATACACAAATCCCCCAACAAGTAGACTAAACAAATCTCCCAACAAGTAGACTGGACAAATCTCCCAACAAGTAGACTGAACAAATCCCGCAACAATAAGACTAATCAAATGCCATAATAAGTAAACTAAACAAATCTCCTCAACAAGTTGACGATACAAATCCCCCAACAAGTAGACTAAACAATCCCACAACAAGTAGACTAAACAAATCCCCCTACAAGTAGACTAAACAAATCCCACAACAAGTAGACTAAACAAATCCCCCAACAATTAGACTAAACAAATCCCCCAACAAGTAGACTAAACAAATCCCCCAACAAGTTGACTAAACAAATCCCCCAATAAGTAGACTAAACAAATCCCCCAACAAGTAGACTAAACAAATCCCCCAACAAGTAGACTAAACAAATCCCACAACAAGTAGACTAAACAAATCCCACAACAAGTAGACTAAACAAATCCCACAACAAGTAGACTAAACAAATCCCACAACAAGTAGACTAAACAAATCCCCCAACAAGTAGACTAAACAAATTCCCCAACAAGTAGACTAAACAAATCCCCCAACAAGTAGACTAAACAAATCCCATATGTTGCACAGAAAATCTCCACCCTCCACCACTGGAAGACAAACGACGAGGCCTTCAAGAAAGCTCAGGACACAGTCAGCGCAATATGGGAGGGTCTCAGGAAGAGGGCGGATAAAAATAAGGTAGGTCTCATGCTCTGAATAGCTCAATTTTGTGCTGGCAGGAGGCTGTCAATGTCTGAATAGCTGACTTTATGTGCTGCCAGGAGTCGGTCCATCTCCGAGTAGCTGACCTTCTGAGCTAGAGTGTCAGTCGATCTCTGATTAGCTGTTTTTCGCTCTACCAGGAGTCAGTCGATCGCTGAGTAGCTCACCTTTTGTGAGAAATTCATCCTTAGCGTCTCATGCTAAAACTACAGAAATACAGAAAAATTGATATCACAAATAGGAGAAGTTATTTTGTTCGAATCTTACAAGTTACATGTAACAATTCATTTCACAAAGTTCTACATACTAGTAACTGTCTGCTAACTACATAGGAATTGTAAAGTTTTGAGGTAAATCTAACAAAAATTTGACGCGAAGAAGCGTACAATCTGCTTGTGTTATTTTAGGATGGTAGGATAACCAAAGAGGAGTGGACAAAGATGTGGGAGGAGTGTATCAAAGATGTGGTCGAGGGTCGCTCATTCCCTGAGTGGCAGCAGGAGTACATGGAGTTTATGTTTTACGCTAACGACACATCAGGTGGGTTATAGGGGTGGGGCGTTTGGTACAGGGGGTGGGGCGTTTGCTGCAGGGGGTGGGGCGTTTGGTACAGTGAAGGAACATTAGGTATAGTGGGGGGTATTTGGTACAGGTGGTGGGTCATTTAGTTACAGGGATGGGTCATTTTGTACAGGGGTTGGCTAATTAGATACATTAGTTGAGTCATTAGGAAAACTGGGAGGGTCAATTAGTACATAGAATGGGTCATTTAGTGCAGTGTTTAATTGTCCTTGTATCGGTCAAGCTGACCCTCACGTCCAACCCATCCTACTGCAGGTGACGGCTTTATTGACAGGGGAGAGTACACAGCCATCTACGAGCTCTTCGGCTTTTCAAATGATGACGTCAACAAATGTTTTGACAAAATTTCAGAGGTGAGGCGTGTTTGTTTCACTACAGGGTGGTACGAGGGGTTAAATACAGCACCTAGCTAAACAATCGTTGAAAAACGCTTTAGATCCATATAATTTTAAACCAAATTTAAGCTCAAGTTGTATATACCATTATTCTCAAGCTATTTTTTACCCTATTTAAGCTCATGTTAAAGCTTATCACCTACTTTAGCTCAAGAAATGTGTTACCCTAATTAAACACAAGCCAAACTTTGTACAAAATTTAAACGTATCCAGTCTACTGTTGCCCCCACTAACGCCCGTCCCCTGCCTTGTGTCCCCAGGGTCTACCCAACAACATGCTTTCAAAGAGCGACTTTGAAGCCTTATGGCGGGACTACTTTGTTGCTGAAAACGACGATGCAAAGGGCAACTTTTTGTTCGGTCAACAAAAACATTAACTGACTTACTTCCCTTTATTTTTATTTATTTTTATTATTCTTACAAAATGTGAACAGAACTCACGTCATCTAATTAACCAGTGTACAGACCGTGCGACAGTAGGGCTAGATCACATCTCAGCCAAAGCAACTCATTTTATCCAGTTTTTCTCTGCGGAGACCTGACCGGCGTACCATCGCTGCCGGATGTGACGTTCAAGGTCATGAGGTCACTACCAAAGAAAGATCCGACCAGGGGGTAGGTGACGGGATCACTCCAACCCCTCGGGTGTGTTTGAGCCCTCAGCGCTATCTGTAACTCTCGGTTAAATGGTATCGCATGTCAACATTTGTTAACACGACTGCCAGCAACAGCTAACCATGTCAGCCATTGTTGGCATAAATGTCAACAACTGCTAACTGTTCTGTCATTTCCTCTCCTCGTCTGTCAGAAGTCCCGTGAAAATGTCAATACATTCATTCGATGTTTTTTAAAATATATTTTTGTAAAAATTTCCTGTCAGCCATCCCATAATTTTACCAGTCTAAAACAAATCCAGCGAGACCAGTAAGAGTGAATTGTGTGACGTCATACTCCCAGACTTCTCATGTTTTGTGTACGCACGTCGTACACATGTTGTACGCGTGTTGTACACAGCAAAGAGCGCGACAAAATAAAAGAAATAAAACAAAATTTCGTGGCGTTTCTTTTTCTTTACACTCACTAGTATTATTTTAATTTGGTATCGTTTATTTGTATTTTTTTTTCTATTTTGTCCGGAGAAAGGTGGGGTGGGGGGGGGCGTGCCCCGGAGAGATGAGTTGCTACACTCTAGATTTTTCTGTCCTTATGCTGATAATGTATCACACTTTATCCTATCTTTGTGTAAGGGGAGCATAAGCCCCTTCAGCACACCCTAGTTACGCCTTTGAACCCCAACCTACACTATGGCCGTGTAGTTTAATGACACATTTATCGCTGGAAATTATTTATTTTTTAACAATAACAAATGAAGAAAAAAACAGCTAGATAAAGTAAAACTTTAATCATCAATTAATTAAAACATGTGTAATTAAACTTGAAGTAAACTGCAGCAACCACATTGAGCATTTGATTGAGAAGAAAACTAAGTACACCAGACGTGGACCAAAATGTTGACAGCACGCCAGGCTAGTGACGTAGGCCAGTTGTTGACTGGGCTTTTAGCGCCAGTACTCAGTCACGTGACCTGAGCTGACCAATGGGGCCAGCTGAGCATCAAATGTCGTCTGAAAGCCGCGCTATTTTCGTCCTTTTTTTTTCGTTTTGTTCCCTTGTGTGCGTCACTTCGAACTGTTGTCTAATGCAGAAATAATCCAGCCAATCAAACAAAAGATGACAACAGGAGTTAGGCCTGTCATTGTAGACAGGAGTGAGAGCATCAATCAGACTTGTGGGAGCGCCGAACTCGTGAAAGACATTTCTAAATACCGAAACGTTACCATAGAGCATCTCTAAAGAAATGTACCGCATACACTCCACAAGATATACAATCGAGACATTTTTTTTTTTTTACAAGCGAGCAAAATGAAATAAATACAATCGGGCAAAATGGTTTTGGATTTGTGAAAACAACTTCAACAAGAATGAAAATATGAAAATAGCGTCAACAGTAATAAGAAAAATTTGTGGAAACTTCATTAAGATATGTGAACACAATTTCATTAAAAATATGCTGAAGTGACTTCATTAGTAAATAATTGGAGAACAGCTTCAGTAATAAATATGGGAAAACAAATACATAAAAATATGCGAAAACAAATTCATTAAAAATATTACAAAACAAATTCATAAAAAAAACATTTGGAACAACTTCATTAATAAATATGAGAAAACAAATTAATAAAAAAAAACATTTGGAACAACTTCATTAATAAATATGAGAAAACAAATTATTAAAAAAAAAACACATTTGGAAACAACTTCATTAATAAATATGAGAAAACAAATTCATTAAAAAAATATGTGAAAACAAATTCAACAATAAGGTTTGGGTTACAATTGAGCACACTCAGCAGTTATAAGTCCTGTAATAAACTGTAGTCATACTGTCATATTCTATTACCCAGCCAATAAACACATCAATTAGTTAAATACGGAACTACTTAACCCAAACCAATTTTACAAACAGCACTTGCTGCTAATAAGTTAAAGAGACAGATATACTTATAAATACGACAACATCAGGTGTAACATTTTCAATAAATAGATCAACAATTACACGTTAATAAATTAATTTCAAATTGAACTGGGATGGTCATTTGAGAATAAATATATCATAGGCTTTAATGTTATTACACATTCATAAAGAGATCAAAATATTATTGTGTATAAACTTAACGAATATATGATACAAATTTACTGACTGCAGCTGTTATTGTATAATTGCTGCAGCTGTTGGGATAATATCGCTACAGCTGCCGAGACCAGCTCCACTGAAGCCGTGAACACGTGACCACTGCTTCCAACTTTCTTCACAAAACTTGATCTTCTGTTAAAATTTCAAACTTATTCCCAGAACACATGTAGCCTACATCTTGTAAGTAAAATATGACATTCTTTAAAATTGTATTTTCCATTATACATAGCAAAAAAATGATCACATTTGATTGGCACATGAGAAAAATTATCAGATGATTGCCAAATGAGAAAAATGATCACTTTTGTTTTCCGAATGAGAAAAATGATCGCATGATTGCCGCATGATACAAATGATCACATTTGAATGCCGTACGAAAAAAAAAACTATCACATTTAAATGTCACATGAGAAAAATGATCACACTTGAATGTCACGTGAGAAAAATGATCACATTTGAATGTCACATGAGAAAAATGATGACACTTGAATGTCACGTGGGAAAAATGATCACATTTGAATGTCACGTGAGAAAAATGATCACATTTGTATGCCTACAAAAATAAGCGTATTTGAACATCATATCCAAGAAAAACATGGATTGAGCAGTGGATTGGGTTGTGGATTGAAAGGATAATGTCAAGGTTATGTGAAGCTGTAGAGATCTCAAGGACAAACTTGTAGTGAGCACATGTCCTCACACCACTCACTGGGACAGTTGTAAGAGCACCAGCCGTTCAGCCCGGGGGTTTTACTCCACAGGGGCGTGGCCTTGTAGCACAAGTGTTTGCTGGACATGGGGGTCATGCTGGGTACTGCCGCGGCTGAGGACGGATGTTTGAGCGAGGCGATGTAGTCGAAGGCCGCTGGCTCGATGTAAATCTTGTAGGTCGGGTACTTGCAGTAGCAGGAGCAGAAGTCGGCCCGGCACCGTCCGGACTGGCAGGTTCTCAGGCACCAGGTGTCCATCTCTGCGATCAGTTTGTGGATGCCGCGGGGCTCGCAGACGACGTGGGGCGCCATGGGGCTGCACGACGCGGGGCTGTCTGGCGCCCGGGTGGTTGTCTTGGGGGTGGAGGCTGGTCGGGTCAGCTGTGAGGTCGTTGACCTGGGAGTTGTGGTGCTGGCTGCAGGCCGTCTGGTGGTGCTGATGGTGGTGGTGGTGGTGGTCGTGATGATGGGGCGAGCTGGGGGCACACTCTCTGGGTCAGTGACTGATGTGGCGCCCTCACGGAGGATCTGGGAGAAGAAGAACAGAGTCATCAGCAACACAATCATCAGCAACACAATCATCAGCTGCACAATCATCAGCAACACAATCATCAACAACACAATCATCAACAACACAATCATCAACAACACAATCATCAGCAACACAATCATCAATAACACAATCATCAACAACACAATCATCAACAACACAATAATCGACAACACAATCATCAACAACACAATCATCAACAACAACACCATCATCAACAACACAATCATCAGCAGCACAATCATCAGCAACACAATCATCAACAAAACATTAATCAACAACACAATCATCAAGAACACAATCATCAACAGCACAATCATCAGCAACACAATTATCAACAGCACAATCATCAACAACACAATCATCAGCAACACAATCATCAACAACACAATCATCAACAACACAATCATCAATAACACAATCATCAACAACACAATCATCAACAACACGATCATCAACAACACACTCCTCATCAACAATATAATCATTAACATTCCACCGTCAACCATCTACTGATCTTCAAATGAATAAAACAATACGTTTTGTTTGCAATAAGAGGCATTTAAAAAAAACGTATTAGCCCAAATCAAAAGAAGACATGAGAAGAGTTTAAACGATGCCGTAATGGCTGAAGAGCAGATGTTAAAAGATGGACTGACCGATATATCAGCACAGTTGACGTAGGTCTCCTGGGGCCCACAGCCTAGACACGCCTCACAGTTGGGCTTGGGGCTGTGTTCTCTGTACCCTGGGGAAGAGGACAGTCTTACATTTATGCCTACAGATGATTGGTTAAAATTATGCACGTGAGGGGAGGTGATTTGTTAAAAATAGCTAGAGCGCGTGAGAACAGGTAATTGGTTAAAACTGTGCACGTGAGGACGACTGGTTTAAATTGTTGTATCTTGATTTTTGCCAATTAGTGGTCCTCCTGTTCACTTGCCCAGATTTTGAAGAAAATAAATAAATAACTGACGACTTAATTTTAAATAAATAACTGACGACTAAATGTAAGGCGATGAGTTGAACTTAACCTGGGCGTATATTTTGTTTTCTAACACTAGTGTTGATGCTTGTACGAGGCTAATCGACATGTACCTACATGTAGCTATTCGCCGTGTACCTAAATCTGGCTAATCGCCATGGACCTAGACCTGGACTAATCTAATGAACTCAAGGCCACGGTGTTGTTGACCATGCACTGTTGCGTCATTGTTTCCCCACGAGCCAGCACTTTACCAGCAGGGTAATGAGACAACCGGATCACGTGACCGCCGATTTGTAACGACGACACATGGAACCTGGTCTAGCGGGGAAACCGTTTGTCCTGGATCTGTGTCACACTCGGCCACTCGACACAGTTGTATTGTTTACATCAACTTTACATCAACTTTACATCAACTTTACATCAACTTTACATCAACTTTACATCAACTTTACATCAACTTTACATCAACTTTACATCAACTTTACATCAACTTTACATCAACTTTACACCAGTCAGTTGTATTGTTTCATCAACTTTACATCAACTTTACACCAACTTTACACCAACTTTACACCAGTCAGTTGTATTGTTTCATCAACTTTACATCAACTTTACACCAGTCAGTCGTATTGTTTACATCAACTTTACATCAACTTTACATCAACTTTACATCAACTTTACATCAACTTTACATCAACTTTACATCAACTTTACATCAACTTTACATCAACTTTACATCAACTTTACATCAACTTTACATCAACTTTACATCAACTTTACATCAACTTTACATCAGTTTTACATCAACTTTACATCAACTTTACACCAGTCAGTTGTATTGTTTACATCAACTTTACATCAACTTTACACCAGTCAGTTGTATTGTTTACATCAACTTTACATCAACTTTACATCAACTTTACATCAACTTTACACCAGTTTTAGACACGTATTCTACCGGCTCACCAGATGATATACATCAACTTTACATCAACTTTACATTAACTTTACATAAACTTTACATCAACTTTACATCAACTTTACACCAGTCAGTTGTATTGTTTACATCAACTTTACATCAACTTTACACCAGTTTTAGACACGTATTCTACCGGCTCACCAGATGATATACATCAACTTTACCATCAGTCACATGATCATAGAATATTAGTATCGGCACAATTGATGAAAGACAGAGTGGAATAAGGAAAATAAAAACTATCTTTAAATGTGAACATCCGATGCAGGTGATAGTGAGAAGGGAGGGGTTGGGGGTGGGGGCGGAGGGTCGAGGGTCGAGGGACTTAGATAGGCCTATTTAAATGTAAACAAAATCAAGTAGTTTGTCAAGTTTATGTGCTATTAGAGTATAAACAAGTAAGTCGAACACAATCTAATTAAAAATAGCTGTCTCATCTACAAACGTAGGGATTGTGTACAGTACACTTAATGTTTCTCATCTAGAAACATAGAGATTGTGTACAGTACACTTTGTGTTTGATGTTGTCATTGTTTTTTTTAATAATCTATGGACTGTCAAAGCACGATATTGAGATGAGAATAAGCCAGGAGTTAGCGATATTTGACTCAACCATAAACATAGGTCCGTGTATGTGAGCCTACCTGTGACGTATGTCCACTGTAGTATACACTGGTCACAGTCTGTCTTGGGTAGGATGACGTGGAGGTCGTGGAAACCTTTCTTACTTCCTGGGTAGTATCTGTCTGTCTTTGTTTCTTTGATAATCAGTGGGTTCATTCTGCTCAATGGCAAGTAGATATATCAATATATATATATATATATATATATATATATATATATATATATATATATATATATATATATATATAATTAAAGTACACATTTTATTTACATAGATATTTCTTTCCTCTATGATATGAAAATATACACAGGTATAAAACATTGGACAACTCTAGAACGTGCCTAACAGGTTAGACAACTCATGACCTACCCAATTAAACAATCAGAATAGACAACTCTACTTAGTAAAACTATCAGGTTAGACAATCTATGACCTACCTAATTAAACTATAAGGTTAGACAACTCATAACGTACCTAGTGAAACTATAAAGGTTAGACAATCTATGACCTACCTAATTAAACTATAAGGTTAGACAACTCTGTAACGTACCTAGTGAAACTATAAAGTTAGACAACTCATGACCTACCCAATTAAACTATAAGGTTAGACAACTCATAACGTACCTTGTGAAACTATCAGGTTAGACAACTCTACCTAGTAAAACTATAAAGTTAGACAACTCATAACGTACCTAGTGAAACTATCAGGTTAGACAACTCTACCTAGTAAAACTATAAAGTTAGACAACTCATAACGTACCTAGTGAAACTATCAGGTTAGGTTAGACAACTCTATAACGTACCAAGTGAAACTATCAGGTTAGACAACTCTACCTAGTGAAACTATAAAGTTAGACAACTCATAACGTACCTAGTGAAACTAACAAGTTAGGTTAGACAACTCTATAACCTACCTAGTGAAACCATCAAGTTAGACAACTCTATAACCTACCTGGTGAAACTAACAAGTTAGGTTAGACAACTCATAACCTACCTAGTAAAACTATCAAGCTAGACAACTCATGACGTACCCAGTGAAACTATCAGGTTAGACAACTCTATGGCCTACCTAATGAAACTATCAAGTTAGACAACTCAATACGTATCTAGTAGACAACTCATAACGTACCTAGTGAAACTATCAGGTTAGACAACTCTATAACGTACCTAGTAAAACATTCAAGTTAGACTACTCTACCTAAAGAAACTATCAGGTTAGACAACTCATAACGTACCTAGTGAAACTATCAGGTTAGACAACTCTATAACGTACCTAGTGAAACATTCGTTGAGGTCGAGCAGATGTGGCCCGTCCCTGCTTGTACACAGACGAAAGACGAAGTAGCCCAGCATGTTGGCGTTGGTGTAGACGGTGACGTTCATCTCGCCGCCGCTGGTGTAGACCCTCTGGGGCGGCACCATCGAGTACTTGCCCGGGTACTCGTTCTCCAGGAACCCGTCAAAGCGGTCCCCACAGGCCCCACACTTGCCCTTTCCCCGGGTCCACTGGTACTGTAGGTACACAAGATTGATGAATTAAAGCTAGGCACCACAGATACAAAAAAAAAATATAATTAGCATATTTTATGATTTTTAAGAAATAGTCAATAGATTATATTTCAAGTTGTCATAAGCAGTTCTGGTTGCCATGGGGAACCACGAAAAAGATGTAAAAATTAGCACATTTTCAAATGTCGTGTTCATGGACTATAGCTGGGATAGTTGTGTTTGGGGACTATAGCTGGGATAGTCGTGTTTTTGGACTGTCTATAACTAGTTTGTCGTTGATGGGCTATCTATAGCTAGGTTAGTCATTTTCATAGACTGTCTATAGCTGGGATAGTCGTATACATAGACTGCCTACATTTCGCATAGAAATGACCATTGTTTAGCGTGTGTTCAGAGAGTCAGCCTCCACTTTTCTGTACCGAGATCTTTCCGTCAGGACAGTAGGCTATAGCCTTACAGGCTGCAGGTAATTTACCGGAAACTTCGTGCCGGTCTGGTCCCAAAATAGTCTTCTGCAAGACCCAGCTAGTGACGTCACATTCCAAAACTCACGGGATCATAAATCTAACAGTTATTTTACCAAGTACTTTTAGCACCTGCTTAGCACATTTTTAGCACCTTCTTAGCACAGTTTTAACTGTTTTTTGACACTACCTGCCGCAGGTACAAGAGAAAGAATGTGCATATAGCTGTTACTATTAGATAGTGGCTTTTGAAACCAGCTAATATATGTCACAAAAAGTACACCAATCGTGAGAATAGCAGGTGATTCTCGAGCTGGTATAGACAATAAAAATGTGAAGCTAGCAACTGACCTCATACCCGCCACAGTTGAGCAGTTCGTCGTGTGAGTTGACGGCAGCCTCCGGCACGCCCTCCCGCCAGTAGCTGGATCTCATTGGCGGCTCGATCAGCCTGGCTCGCGCTGTGACGTCATGGAGGAGCAGGGACGCGGTCAGCGCCAGTGCCAGACACGCGTTGCTATAGAAACGTGTGGAGCTTTTCTTCAGGAAGAGAAACTTCATGTCTGTTGTGTCGGGGAGATGATCAAGTTCCAGCTAATCCTAATCCTAATCCTAATGTTAATCCTGACTTGGTTTGGGAGATTAGTTTTTTGTTTTTGTTTTTTTTTTGTCAGGCTATCTGCAACAACACAACAATAAAAAGTTCACAAAAACCTTACAGAATGTTCATGTTCATTTCAATAAAATAAATTCCTGACGACAATGTAAATAAAAATAAACAAGAAATTCGTCATTACTGAAACAATCCGTTACAGAATACGTTCCTAAGGAAACTATCCCATGGATTCACTCGGCCGTAACTGTAACAGATTCAGTCAGCCGTTAATTTAACCAACCGCCACACGACCTAGTAAGTAGGTAAGTGTGACGTTGTTCTAATGAATCTATAAATAGCTACTTACTTTAAAAAAATATACACACGTTTTAATTTTATTTTTAAACACCGCGCTTGCAGATTCCGCATTGTAAGTTTGCTACGTGAAATGGTAGGGTAAAAAATCTGATCTTTTAAACTGATTTAGTATCAAGATGGTTATCATGTGGTATCAGGATGGGGTGATGTGGTTTGAGGATGGGGTGATGTGGTTTGAGGATGGTATGATGTGGTTTCAGGATGGTATGAGGTGGTTTCATGATGGTGTGATGTAGAATAGCCCGCTATTTTTTTTTTAATTTGTTGTTTTGCCAAGTTTCGACTCCATTTTTACCGTTTACTTACATCTTACGCATATTATTTGATTAGCTGTTTAATTACAGTAACATGCATAACTTCATTAGCTATTCAATTACACTTGGCGTGTGATATTTAAGTAGCCATGTCTTTATTTACATTGTTTACTTGTCATTTAAATAATTTCTTTAATTATATCTCACATGAATGATCTAATTAGCTATCTATTATTCGTTGTAGTCAATAAGTCAGAATTAAATAAAAGCCGACTTTTTAAGCAGATAGCAGGTACACTTGAAGACCCATAATAAGATTAATTAGATTCAATAAAGTGCACATCATTGTTTACTGATATATTTTAAGTAATACATGCACGAGTTTAGTCTGGTACAGCGATGCTACTGTATACAATAATTAATATGACAGCATAGTGTAGCAGGTTGACATGTATTCTAGAGAGGTGTTATCTACACAACGGAGGTGGGGTGAATTTTTTAATGCTAGAACCTAAGGATGGGGACAATGTCACTCTATACGGCTGTATTGTAGAGGGTTATATGCTTGAACAGTGACCTTGACACAAAAGGTTAATGATCGTGTAGAGTGTAGACGTTAAAGGTTAATTAGTTCATTGAAGTAGATGCATATTTTACAGTAAACATTAGCATCCCTAGGCTTGTGGTATGAAATTCAAATTGATATGAACAACACGTGTTTGAAGCCACGTTGTAAATAAACGCTCTACTTTCTTGAAACCAGTCATTTTGAATATTGTAAATAATTTTTTTTCGATAACATTTCAAGATTTTAACTCAAAGTAAATTATGTGTAAGGTTTTAAGCTATAGTCGATAAATTCAACAACAAAGATCATAATTTTGTTCCAAAATATTTTTTCTATGATTTTTCACACTTGATAAAAATAATGTTAATTGATTACTAAGCTTAAGTTTATAAAATACCCTAAAATGATCAGTAAATCTTTAAACAAGAAAAAATAATGATAAAGTATTACCTTTAAAGTTATGACCGAACCAATCGCACAATGGTCGAGTGTATCCCTAACGACGTGCTAAACGGTCGAATCATCTATCCCTAACGACAGTCAGACAAGCTTTGGTATCCACGTTTCCAGCCCCCTTATTTTGTACACAAAGTCCGGTAACTCTTCCGCTACTACTAATCAAAATGCCATCTTAGGGGAGACGAGCCGCGAGATAAAAATAAGTAGGAAACTCGCGAGGAAAACAGGTCGTATCTCTTTCACCTGTCAGGTGCCATTAGGGAAATCTATAAAAGTTGCACTGAACAAATTGACAGCTACGTTTATTATCTGACACTTCTCTACTGCTGACAACTCTTCGAAATTCTGGGGAGATGTTGTCTTTCTGATATGGTAATACAGGGAGGTGACTTGTGACAGTGTAATGTAAGGGGGAGGGTGACTTGTGACAGTGTAATGTAAGGGGGAGGGTGACTTGTGACAGTGTAAAGTAAGGGGGTGGGAGAAGTATCACAACATCAGCTTAGAGATGCCGTGGTTCATTTATCGTAATGTGTTATATTGCATTGGTGTGGTATAGAGAAGTGTTATGTAACACTTCCGATATTTTATTACTATTTCGTTTTCTTAATTTCTCTTATATTATCCTATATTTTATTTACCATTTGGTTTCCTCTATTTCTCTTATATTATCCTATATATTATTAACCATTTGGTTTTCTATATTTCTCTTATATTATCCTATATTTTTTTACCATTTGGTTTTCTATATTATATTATCTTATATTTTATTTACCATTTGGGTTTCTATATTTCTCTTATATTATCTTATATTTTATTTACCATTTGGTTTTCTATATTTCTCTTATATTATCCTATATTTTATTTACCATTTGGTTTTCTATATTTCTCTTATATTATCCTATATTTTATTTACCATTTGGTTTTCTATATTTCTCTTATATTATCCTATATTTTATTTACCATTTGGTTTTCTATATTTCTCTTATATTATCCTATATTTTATTTACCATTTGGTTTTCTATATTTCTCTTATATTATACTATATTTTGTTTACCAGTTACTTTTCTATATTTCTGGTATTTAGAAACGTTTGTTCAAATAGGATTGCAGAAGTGGTCTACACATTCATGGAGTCAACCGAAAGTGTAACAACGTTTTCTTACGAGACTCTTACATGCGACTTTCTCTTGAATGATGTGATTTTAAAATGTATGAATTTTTGTGTTGGTGAGTGTGTACGTGTGTGTTCATGCGCCCACGCGTGTGTGTATGTGTATGTGTTGTGTGTGTGTGCATGCGTGCGTGCGTGCTCGCGTATGCTTGCGTGTATAATTTCTATTACAAAATCCTAGCTATGACACTGTAGCAAGGCACGTGATTTATAAAAAAAAAATGTTTCCTAAGTTTCAAATGAATTCATAAATAAAGCAATCTAGTATTAAATAATTTGTGTTTATAAATTTATAATCACGGCACACGGCGTCAAATGACGTCAATTGTGAAATTAATTATTTGACAAGAAAAACTGACATATTGATTGTTGTGTTGGCTAGCAGGAAATGCTCTACATTTGTTTAGGTCACGTGATGTCCCAATGACCTACAAACCTAGAACTTTCACAAGTTTTTACCAATGTTTACTTTTGCCTAGTTGACGTGTACCTACAGACGTGTGGGCAGTGGTGAAGATTTGCTTGCTGACCCATTACGTCACCAGATGACCAACAAACGTCTGCTACCTGCTCAGATATCATGTCTAGTAATGTCCGTTAAATGTTTATACCCCTACTGTACCAAGAGTCAACTGTCTTTCTATTGGCGTGTGAAAAATGTAAGCCCAGATTGAGTTGACCTCCCCGCTTTACACAAGTCGTCAGTTATTTATTATTTGCTTCAAAATCTGGGGAAGTCGACATGAGTTTTAGTTCTTTATTGCGCCACTGTGCGCACAGTTGTACTATACGTACCAGTTGGAGATATGGCTTGTTTCATAATGTTAGAGAATTCGGCTAATTTTATACTGCTAGGTCCTACAGATTATTTATACTATTAGAACCTACAGATTATTTTATACTGTAAGGTCCTACAGATTATTTTATATTGCTAGAGCCTACAGATTATTTTATATTGCTAGAGCCTACAGATTATTTTATACTGCAAGGTCGAACAGATTATTTTATACTGCTAAAACCTACAGATTATTTTATACTGCTAGAACCTACAGATTATTTTTATACTGCTAGAACCTACAGATTATTTTATACTGCTAGGTTCTACTACTTGTTTTATACTGCTAGAACCTACAGCTTATTTTATACTGCTAGAACCTAAAGATTATTTTATACTGCTAGGTTCTACTACTTGTTTTATACTGTTAGAAAATAGAGCTTATTTTATACTGCTAAGCCCTACAGCTTATTTTATACTGCTAGAACCTACAGATTATTTTATTCTTTTAGAAACCATTGATGGTTGGTTATTTTTTAAAACAAATTGTATCACAAATTGAACATTGTTTTATGTGTTACTATTTGTTTGCAAAATGTTGAACACGTCTTTAACTCTAGAGAGATTTTGTTTTTGTAAAGAAAACTTCCATTATCTTCCTGTGTAATTTTTACGGGTATTGTTTGTCTGCTGTATGTTGTTTTAACCAGTTGGTTAGGCGTCTACTGAAGAAGGTTGACATCAGGGGTCAAAGGTTAATGAGTACAGTGCAATAGTTAGGTGGGGAATAGGGTGGTAGACAACATCATAGCGCAACACATTTATTGCTTAAGCTAGGACATTGATGATGGTGTAATGTCCTGTAGTGTAGGACATTACAACAACATCTACAAAGTGTTGTATCATTCACAGCCATAAAGTACTTCAAAGGTGACATGGCTAAACAATGTCAAGGTTAAGGTCGGTGCCTAAAAAGTATACATAAATTTTGCTTACAAGTTTTACATTTTTTTCCCAAGTTACTGCATAAGCAAATTTTTGTTAGGAACCAAGTTCTTTTTTTTCCAGTGTATTTAAAAGCTTACTATTATAATAATTATACATGTTTTTATATTTGATTTATCTTAATTTAATGCATATAAAAGTTTGTTATTATATACTGTTTTACACTTCTTTTATTGCCTTTATTATTTACATGTGTAGTCTTGTAATTGTACTTCTACAAAATTCCCCCCCCCCCCCCCCCCCGCGCCGGTTGGCAGTCCCCGCGCCACGAGTTGTCTCCCAGTAAAACCGCCAGAGTTGTCAACGTCGTTTGGTCACCCGTCCATCACTTTGACGCGGCAACCAATGAAAGATTGCTCTCCGGCACATACGAGCACATTTGTTCGCAACTTTCCTTCTCTACTAAACAA